TCAATCACCGCGCAGCCGGGGACGGGCACCTAACATGGGCGAGAAGCGGGATGCGGTAAACCTGGCTTTAGCTCGGCTCCGCTGCTGCCGCTGCGGCTCTGGGGGTGGCTCCGCCGCAGCTCCCCGCCCCGACACGTGGTGCCGCTGCCGCCCGCCCCGAGCAGGTGTGGGGACGGAGAGGACGGGGTTGGGAGGGGAGGTTCCTTACCCGCCTCGGCCCCGCTTCTCAGCGGGCTGCCCCGGGGAGGCAGCGCCCTGCAGCGCTTCATGCCGGCCCCAGGTCACAAAAGGCTGCGAGGACGGTAAAAATGTTAAAATCCGGGTGTGGAATATTACGGATTTCACGCTGAGGTACCAAAGCAGATACGGAAGAGAGGGCAGATGTCACCGGTGTGAATATGATGGATATGTACTATATAAACAGCAAAATACATCAGATGTTCTCTGCTTGTTATTAGAATTGTAAAATGGTTTAAGTTGGAAAAGACCTTAAGGATCATCGAGTCCAACCATCGATCACCATATCCCTAAGCACAACATCTACCCGTCTCTTAAACACCTCCAGGGATGTTGACTCAACCACCTCCCTGGGCAGCCTGTTTCAGTGCCTGACAACCCTTTCAGTAAAAAAATTCCTCCTAATATGAAACCTAAAGCTCTCCTGGCACAACTTGAGGCCATTACCCCTTGTCCTATCAGTAGCTACCAGAAAGAAAAGACCAACCCCCACCTCGCTACAACCTCCTCTATTCAATGACAGCTTTTTATGGAACATGTAGAGATGTAAAATTACTTGACTCTCAGACAATACACTGCATATTGTATTTATTGTATTGTCTCCCCTACCTTTCATTGCAATAATTGTTGGACCCTCCTATAGATTAATGCACACGTGTTAAACTTGTTAATCTGCTCCCTAGAGTGGGTCTACTTAAAAGACATGCATGTATTAGCGGGACTGGGATCTGGGCTGTATACATATCCACACAGGGGGTGAAAAAGAACTTATCTGCCACAAGAAGGATGATGAAATTCTTGATGGGAGCTTCATCTGAGGTTCTGCGTAAATGTCTGCTTACAGGACTTAATGAGCATGCAAAAACTGCTTTCAGCAATAGTATTTTTGGGTAAAGATTTCCTTTGCAAGCATGCTTCTTACAAAGGGCCAAGGGCCCCAGTTCCTGTTGAAACTTCTTTTTACTGTTAGAGCATGAATATTAAATACTGTCTCAAAAATAATTAAGAGCAAATGTGTATTTTACGTGTGGTGCAGAGGACATGCCATCAGTAGTAGCAAAGATGATGCATTCATCTCGTCCTCGAAAAGGAAAGAGGACACTGGAGAGTACTGACACACTGATTGTTACATATACAAAGAGTTATAATTACTAATTTATTAACCTGGCATCAGGATTAGATCCATTACTTATGTAGAGCTCTGAGCTGTGCTCTGCCAAAAAGATGATACCATCCTCCCTGGCAGTGTCAAGACATCTATAATTCAAAGAAGTGAGATAGTTACAACTGCAAAAAAAGAAAAAAAAAGCTTAACATTCCTGTATTAAAAATTCTGTGTTCTTATAAGCTATATTCTAAGCACTGGAATATACCTTCCTGAGGCACAGAAGAGCAGGAAGAATTCTGGACCTTTCACTACTGCTCCAAGACTGTTTCCATGGAAAACAGAAAATTGCAAATCACATATTTTAATCACACCAATTTGCTCTTCCATTCAATAGAAACCAGGGCACCTGAGACTGTGGGCTTCTGTGAGCTGCACGTAGCACATGTGCGATGGAAATTTCCCATGTACATTTACAGAGCTGTTGTACTGGTAGAAAGAGTAAGAAGAAGCTGTGCAGCAGCACTGCTATTGCCATAGTAACTCAGCTCGAGAGTTGATGATGATTCAATTGTCGGAGTCTGCTTTATCTTTTTCCATTTTGATCTCAAATTTTTGCCTTGCTAAGAAACAAGATATGGAAAGTGAAGTCTTCAAGCTGCCTTGGAATTCATAATGGGATGTGACTGCCTTTGATCTCCTCTCCTTTTTTGCGTAGAGATTTATAGCCTTATCATGGATCATAAAACAATCATTAACTTTCAAGCAAACATTTCTTTTCCCTTACAGTCCATGTATATCTAATAATTATAGAGGAATTAAGACACTTTTCAGCATATTAAAATATTATTGTTGTGCACTAGTTAATTATCAGTATTGGGAGGAACACGTACTTGACATGGTCATGTGATAACACACTTATTCTCCTCTTGATGTCTTTTATAAATGAGCAGTATTGCTGTGTTACCTATAATATCAGATTTCATAACCACTGTGCAATGCTGAACAAAACCATATTTGCTATGGAAAGGAAAAATGTTATACCTTCATGAGGGCCTCAGAAAACCTACAGAACACAGGATCTTCTCAGACCTTTTCTTGCTGTACTGCTGCCTGAAAAATAGCAGCTCTCCAGGAAGCCGCAGAGGGCTGCGGATTTAGCAGAAGTGCCCGGAGTCCAGGAGCTGCCAGGGAAAGCCAGGCCCTGAGCCAGGCCCTTGGGTCAGGCCTTGTGCTTCCCTGACGGGGAAGCGAGGTTCCTGAAGCAGTTTTTATTCCAGGCTTTACCACTGAGATCTTCGCTCAAGTGGAGGGCTTTTCCAGAAAAAGCTACAGGGAAGAGAGGGCAGGGTGAATTATAGGGGTTCACAGAGCACCTTTTGCTGTTGCCTCTGCTCCTATTCTGCTGCTCTCTGAATCTTCTCAGTGGGAGGGGGATAAAGTCCTAATTCAGCAGAGATTTGCTAGCCAGCAGTTAGCTGTGTCCTTCAGCCTGGAGGCAAGGAGCTTGGTGCGTTGCTGCTTCTACATACAAACTGATAAGAAAAAAGCTTCACCTTGGTGTTTTTGGAAAGCTTTCTGTGAAATTTGTTTTTGCATGTTTATTTGTTCCATGTGATGGCACATGATTTCTAGACATCTGCAAATGCTGCTTTCCAGTTTGCTTTCTTGCAGTGTAGTATTTTTGCTCATGACCTGTCAGAATAGCAGAGAAGTCCAGTAAAGGTCTCAGCATCCTAATCAGGTACCCAAATATCTCTGTTCCAAAGAACAAGCAAAAAAGATACTGTACCCAGGAGAGAATCACTCAGCAGTACGTACAAGGGTACCTTTGCACCCTTCAGCACAAGAGGTTTACTCATGCTGGCAGCAGAGACCAATTGAGACCTTCTCCGTGGCACAGCCTTTTATACTGCCTGTATGATCCCATGAATTTTCCTTCTTTTTTGTGTAGCTTCTGCAAGAAAGTTTCCACTCCTAACTCGTTTTAATTTTGAGCAGTTCCTCACAGAGTGGAAGAAAGGTGGACTTCTAGGAAGTCAGAGGCTTGAGTCTCCCCAAGTGTCAAAAGGACTGGAACCTATAGTTTTTGTTTTGTCTTCTTTTTCATTTTTTTTCCTTTTATGTGTGTGTAATAATTAAAAGGTGGAACAATGATTCCTGCACTATGTGTATTCCCCATAAACAGTCACCTTGTGCATCATTGCTGTGTTTCATGCTGTCATCCTTTGGTAGCGCGGCATATACTTGGAAAATTTTATTTGGTAGGGAAGTATGCTTCTGCACTTGGTCTATCACAGGAAGGGTGCTGGCCCAAAACCAGGCTGGCTTGTTGCTCAAACCAGGACAGTTTCAGGTTTTTATAGCACTAAAAGCATTTGGGGACATTTGGGATGAAAACCAAGGAGGCATTTTGTGATCTTATGTTCATTAGGGTTAGGTGGTTTTCTTGCAAAGTTATTTTGAATTGGAGAGTTTTGGTGCTTAGAGCTGTCTAAATTCAATTTCAAGTGGCTGAATTTTTCTTTTATGTTTGGCATTGGGCTTTCACACGTCAACCTTGTGCTGTTTCAGGACCATAAGTCAGGTTTTGTTTTTGAGTCACATCTCCTTCTGAGGTCAAAGGAAATGGTGAAAGGGGCAGAGGGCAGAGCTGGGCCCTGTAATCCCGATACAATGTGATGTCATTAATGCAGGCAGATAACTGATAATGTGTCTGTCTGTGATCTAGAGAGTGTCTGTACTTCACCATCTGAGGCCCATGATGCTTTCACTTTTTTTTTTCTCACCCAAAACATAAGAGTGACATTGAAATGAAGTTTTCAGGGTTTGGAAAAGGGTAAATGTTGGGAAGATTGTGAACGCACATGCAGCTGGAGAGAAGGAAACACTGGAGGTTTATTAAAATTAAATCTTGTGAATATTAAAAAAATTTACTTGGAGATCTTTAAACATCTCCTTTCTAACCAAGTGATTAATGTGGAGGTTATTAAGGAGAGTGAAAAGCATTACCAAGTATACAAGATTGTTCGTTTGCAGTCATGTGTATCAGCATATTAGCAGGGATAAGACAGTTAGAAATGGAGAAATTAGAACTTCGGGAATCAGAAGATTACAAATAAATCTGTGTTCAAAATGTCAAACACAAAATACTTCTGAATAAAGATTATAGATAGAAAATCAGTATAAAATGCAATCAGATAAATACAGAAATAGGGGAACACAAAAGATGAAAAAATGTTCATTGAATATTGTATACATGTATTTAGTTTGCATGAATGGTACTTAGACATTTCTTATTTTTGATGGGTGCTGGAAAAATGACACTTTGTCTGATTTAGAAACCAGGTGCACAATAGAATTAAAATCCAAGTGCAAGGCCCTGCACTTGGTTTGGGACAATCCCCACTATCAATCCAGGCTGGAGGATGAATGGATTGAGAGCAGCCCTGGAGAGAAGGACCTGGGGGTACTGGTGGATGAAAGATTGAACATGAGCTGGCAGTGTGCGCTTGCAGCCCAGAAATCCAACTGCATCCTGAGCTGCATCAAAAGCAGTGCACCAGCAGGTTGAGGGAGGTGGTTCTGCCCCTCTGGTCTGCTCTTGTGAGACCTCACCTGGAGAACTGCAATCAGCTCTGAAGTCCTCAGAACAGGAAAGACATGGAAGTGTTGGAGCGGGTCAGAGGAGGGCCACAAAAACAATCAGAGTGACGGTGCACCTCTCCTGTGAGGAAAGGTTGAGAGAGTTGGGGGTATTCAGTAAAAGAGAAGTCCCAGGGAGACCTTCCTGTGGCCTTACACCAAAGGGAGTTTATAAGAAAGACAGAGAGAGGCTTTTAACCAAGGCCTTTGGTGACATGACAAGGGGCAAGACTTTCAAAATGAAAGAGGGTAGATTTAGAGTGGACATAATGAAGAAATTTT